AAGGATGGTTCCAGAGCAAACTATTTTATGCAGTAACCCAGTCGCTCGCTCACAACTTTTAGTGCCGGTAGCTCACAAAGTACAATTTTTGCTCACAAGGCTCCACAGCTTAAGAGATGCCGATGTTGGATCAGGCCAAAGGCCCATCCAGCCCAACACTCTGTATCACACAGTGGCCAGAAATACCAGGTGCCATCAGGAGGTCCACCAGTGGGGCCAGGACATTAGAAGCCCTCCCACTGTTGACCCCCCTCCCCAAGCACCAAGAAGACAGAGCATCCCTTGCCCCAGAGTCCCTATCTATACCTTGTGGCTAATAGCCACTGATGGACCTCTGCTCCAGATGCTTATCTAATTCCCTTTTGAAGCCGTCCATGCCTCCTGTGGCATGCCTCCTGTGGCAGTGATTAATTTACAGCTTAGGGGGAGCATTGGTCCGGACGGGTGGTAACTGCCCAGGAGAGAGATCTTGGCATCGTGGTAGATAACTCGCTGAAAATGTCGACCCAGGGTGTGGCGGCAGTTTTCAAAAGGCCAACGCTATGCTGGGTATTATTAGGAAGGGGATTGAAAACAGATCGGCCAGTACCATGCCCATGGATAAAGCTATGGTGCAGTCTCGTTTGGAATATTGTGTACAGTTCTGGTCGCCGCACCTCAAAGAAGATATTATAGCAATTGGAAACGGTACAGGAAAGGGCAACATAACACGACTAAGGGGATGTAACACTTTTTCTATGAAGAAAAGTTAAAGAGGTTGTCGAAAGCTTTCACGGCCAGAGTTCATTAGTTGTTGTAGATTTTCCGGGCTGTGTGGCTGTGGTCTTGGCATTGTCGGACCTGACGTGTCACCAGCAGCTGTGACTGGCATCCTCAGAGGTATAACACAGAAAGGTGGAGTGCTCTCTGTGTCAAGGTCTCCTCTGTGTCCTGTGTCTCCTTGACACAGAGGGCACTCCACCTTTCTGTGTTATCCCTCTGAGGATGCCAGTCACAGCTGCTGGTGAAACGTCAGGTCCTACAGTGCCAAGACCACAGCCACACAGCCTGGAAAATCTACAGCAGCTAAAGGTTAAAGAGGTTGGGGGGAGGGTTTAGTTTGGAGAAATGACGACTGAGGGGGTGACGTGACAGAGGTTTACAGAATTATGCATGATGGGACAGAGAAGACAGAGAAAGAAGTCCTTTTCTCCTTTCTCACAATACACAAACTTGTGGGTGCTGAATAAAATTAGTGAGCAGTAGGCTTAGGACAGATAGAAGGAAGTCCTTCTTCACCCAAAGAGTCATTAACGCCTGGAATTCACTGCCACAGGAAGTGGTGGCAGCTACAAACACAGACAGCGTCAAGAACGGGTGGGAGGAACATCTGGAGCAGAGGTCCATCGGTGGCTGTTAGCCACAAAGTCTAGATGGAACACTGCGTCTGGGGCAAGTGATGCTCTGTCTTCTTGGTGCTTGGGGGGCAAGAGAGGGAGGCCTTCTGGGGTTCTGGCCCCACCGGTAGACCTAATGATGGCCCCTGGGTTGTGGCCGCTGTGTGACAGAGAGTGTTGGACCGGATGGGCCATTGGCCTGATCCAGCATAGCTTCTCTTATGTTCTTAAGAGAAGGGGTCCATCAGTGGCTATTAGCCACGAAGAATAGATGGAGAACTCTGTCTGGGTCAGTGATGCTCTGTATTCTTGGTGCTTGGGGGGACAACAGAGGGAGGGCTTCTGGAGTTCTGGCCCCACTGGTGGACCTCCTGATGGCCCCTGGGTTTTGGCCAACATGGCTTCTCTTCTGTTCTTATGAAGCTGTGGGACTCAGGAAGAGCATAGGAATGGCTGGGCCGGGCCCGTTTAGCTCAGCATCCCATCTGCATAAAGCGGCCAATCGGATGCCTTGGGGAATGTTCATTGGCAGCAGATGATGGGGCGGGTTCCCTGGCTGACCAATCCAATGCTGGGGGTTCAGGTGACCGCGTATCTGCAGTCAGGGTATGTGTGTGTTTGCCTCTTGTGGCTCTGCTGCAAGGTTTATCGGTTGATTGAATTTATTGACGTTATCTCTAGTCTGCCTTTTTCACTGGGACCGAAGGCAGACGACACAGAGTGAGTTGATATAATGGACAGGAATGGGACATTCCATAAGCAATGCGACAGGATTAGGGCTGTGGGACACGACCCAACGACCCATTCAAGCATGCAGAAATTACATAGAAGGATCCTAGTCTCCAGGCATGCTGGGGCTGGGGCTGAGTGGAGAAGCATCCCAGGTTCCATCTCTGTCATCTCCAGTTAAAAGGACGAGGAAGGAGGTGATGGGAAAGACCTCTGCCTGAGACCCTGGAGACCCATGAAGTGGGGCTGTAGCTCAGGGGAAGAGCCTCTGCTTGGCACGCAGAAGGTCCCAGGTTCGATCCCCGGCATCTCCAGTTGAAAGGACCAGGCAGGAGGTGATGGGAAAGACCTCCACCTGAGACCCTGGAGAGCCATGAAGGGGGACTGTAGCTCAGTGGCAGAGCCTCTGCTTGGCACGCAGAAGGTCCCAGGTTCGATCCCCGGCATCTCCAGTTGAAAGGACCAGGCAGGAGGTGATGGGAAAGACCTCCACCTGAGACCCTGGAGAGCCATGAAGGGGGACTGTAGCTCAGTGGCAGAGCCTCTGCTTCGCATGCATGTTCAATCCCCGATTCAATTGCCTGAGACCCTGGAGAACCATGATGAAATGGGGCTCTGTGGTAGAGCCTCTGCTTGGCATGCAGAAGGTCCCAGGTTCAATCCCTGGCATCTCCAGTTAAAAGGACCAGGCAGGAGGTGATGGGAAAGACCTCCGCCTGAGACCCTGGAGAGCCGCTGCCAGTCTGAGTAGCCAATACTGACCTTGATGGACGGTCCAGTGGTCTGGTTCAGTATAAGGCAGCTTCAGGACCTCACTGGGGTATTCCACTGGCTTTTCCTGCCCTTTTGTGCAATTTGCTATCCTGTGGCAGCGAGTTCCGCAGGCTGATTTCTGAACCAGTGGTCTGGTTCAGTATAAGGCAGCTTCAGAACCTCACTGGGATATTCCACTGGCTTTCCCTGCCCGTCTCTTATCCGTTTTAAAGTATTTGTGCAATTTGCCATCCTGTGGCAGCGAGTTCCGCAGGCTGATTTCTGAAACCGTTCTTCCATTTTTGTCTCGTCTGCTGCTTAGCAGTTCAAATGTTATGACTGTGAGCTTCCCCCCCCATGCCCCCACCACCACCATGTTCCCTCTTTCCTTCTACCACTCATGGTTTTATTGCTAAGAAACCCGCTAAGCTTTTTGCCACAGAATCCCTGCTGGTTACAGAAAGTAGCTGAATATACTCTTAAGCGGTCTGGTCTGTCGACACAAACCTCCTTCAGAAACGATATGCTCCCTCAGTTCCCCTTTTTTGGTAACCTTGCACCGGATACCGTGCTAACTTTAATAACGTTCAGAACCTGCCAGCCTGGTTTTCGCGAGCAGCGGAGTTGTCCGAAAAAATTCCGAGTAAGAATGTGGACCTCAGAATATTGCATAGATGCTGCAAATTCCACAACATCCAAAGCAAACAGAAGCTGCCAATATTTGGGGTGGTGGTGAATAAAACAATGGAAGAATCCGCAGTCGGACAAGCACACATTTCCAGAGGGCAGCTGGAACAGAACAACGTTTTCATTGTCCAGCGGAATATCAACAGAAAGGACACTGGAACAAGGGTTTGGGTGCCGGCGTGGATCAGAACTGCAGATTAGTTCTGTAAATCTGTACGTTCTGTTGTCCAGTTTGGTGTAGCGGTTAAGTGTGCGTACTCTAATCTGGGAGAACTGGGTTTGATTGCCCACTCCTCCACTTGCAGCTGCTGGATGACCTTGGGTCAGTCACAAGTTCTCTCAGAGCTGTTCTCTCAGGAGCAGCCCTTAAAAGAGCTCTCTCAGCCCCACCGACCTCACAGGGTGTCTGTTGTGAGGAGGGGAAGGGAAAGGAGATTGTAAGCTGCTCTGAGACTCCGAATGAAGGGCGGGGGGTATAAATCCAATCTCCTTCTCCTCCTCTTCTTCTTCCGTCTTAAACATGGGGGAGGGTTGCCTCTTTGGAGTTTCATTTTATTTTGTATCCTGCCCTCGCCACAAGCAGTCTCGGGGCGGGTTCCATCAATATGAATACAATTTACAGTCACCATCAAAACCGTATTTAAAACAAGAAGTTAAAACAGTGGGAACCGAATGGCCCTCAGGGTAGAAAGTTGGCCGCTGGCTTTTTAAAAACAGTTTTGCAGGTAAGATGAAATCTGGTGCCCGAAGACAGCTTTAAAGGGGGGGGGTGAGGCAGCTGCGGGGAAGGATAGGTGTTTCCTAGCCACGAGAGCGAAAAGGAACCTTTCTGTTCAGAAAAATGAGTTTCCCTCATGCTTTCCGGAAGTCTGCGAGTGAGGCACGTGGCCGGTGGGCGCTGGAAATGGGGTCGGGGGAATAAGACGGGTCGTCTTGGCCCGATCAGGTAGCATCCCTGCTAGGTTTAGCGTCAGAGAAGAAGCAGAGATTGGATTTATACCCTGCCCTTCACTCAGAGTCTCAGAGCGGCTTACAATCTCCTTCCCCTTCCCCTCACCTCCCCTCAACAGACACCCTGTGAGGTAGGTGAAGAAGAAGAAGAAGAGGAGATTGGATTTATATCCCGCCCTTCACTACCCAAAGGTGTCTCAGAGCGGCTTACAAACTCCTCTTCCTTCCCCTCCCCACAACAGACACCCTGTGAGGTAGGTGGGGCTGAGAGAGTTCTTGACAGAAACTGCTCTTTTTCAAGAACAGCTCCTATCAGAACTACGGCTTGCCCAAGGTCATCCAGCCAGGTGCAAGTGGAGGAGTGGGGAATCAGACCCGGTTCTCCAAAATTAGAGTCCGCGCACTTAACCACGACACCAAACTGGCCAAGAGAGCTCTTTCGAGGACTGCTCTTGAGAGACCAGCTCCGAGAGAACTTGTGACTGACCCAAGGTCACACCAGCAGCTGCGTGGGGAGGAGTGGGGGAATCAAACCCGGTTCTCCCAAATTAGAGTCTGCTGCTCCTAACCACTACACCAAACTGGCAGTCTTGTAGTCAGAAACTGATGCGTAGGTAGTCAGACGGTGTCCTTAGCAGGAGGCAGGGGCATCGGTACTTAAAGCTGGTTGGGCTCCGGCCGCTCGAGCCTTCCCGGGTAGCCGGCAGTGCCCCGAATGACACCCCCTCTTTCCCCGCTTCTCCCTAGGCTTGCGCCCTGGACCCCGTGCTGGACGACTCGGTGATGTTCGCCCGGCGGCTGCGGGCCCTGGGGAAGCCAGTCACCCTCCGGGTGGTGCACGACCTGCCCCACGGCTTCCTCAGCCTGTCGCAGCTCTGTCGCGAGACCCGCCAGGCCTCCACCCTCTGCACGGAGCTGATCCGCAAGATCCTGTGCCCCCAGGAAGAGGCGGCGCCGCTGCAGCCATGCGCCGCCGCCTCCCTCCGCAAGCATCGCAAGCTGGAGAGGACCTGCCACGCCGGGGCCGCCCAAGATAACAGCACCCAAAGCAGACTGGAGGGGCAAGGCGGGCCCCTCGGAGGAAGCACAGGCCCCGCGGCCAAAGCCACTCCCGGCGCCCAGGGCCCCCCGGCCGGGGGCGGCTCCGCAGCGGGCCAGTCGAGCGGGCCCGCCCCCCCCTCCGATCCTGAACTCGCCACCGGCCAAGATACCAGCTCTTCGGGAGGCGCGGTGGGGCGGGGGGGGGGGGGCCGCGCCCCCCCCGCCCCTTGCCGGGGCTCTCCCCCAGCGTCAGTGTGCATTGTGGGCGGTCGCCCAACATTATCACACACCCCCCCCCCGCTGGACTGCCGTTTTATACCTGTGGGGCTTTTTATTAAAAAAAACAACTGCTCCTGCGTTGGACTTTACAGCCCCCCGTCCCCTCCTGGTCTTCGTGGGCCCTTCCGGCCGTCCTCAGTCTCCTTCCTCTCAGCATCTCTCGACCCACACACACACCTTCTACCCGAGGACACTCCACTTCTCCAATGCACAACACTCCACGGTTATCCACGCACCCTTGAGAGGCGTGCCGCACCTGGAGATCACGTGGCCTTTCTGGGGGGGGGGGGAGTCCGTTCTTCCAGCACTGCCCGGGGGGGGGCATACCCTTAAACAGCACTGCATGTGCCCCCTCCCACTTCAACACCCCACCCATTACAGCCACTGCCCTGTCCCTTTCATGGACCCCAACTGCTACCTGTCAGTATTAACCCATTGCACTGTGTCCTTCGTCCACGGAATCTCTTTGCCTTTTGACGTCCTTGCTGCTATGTACCAAAGGGGGAGGGGGGGCGAGAGAGGTCGGGGGGCTCCCTCCCCTCCCACGAAGGGCTCTGATATCCCCTCTCCATTCGTCTCCCCGTGGCAGCGGGAGGGAGGCGCAAGTGGATTTTTAAAAAATAAAAAGCTGTTTGATTTTGAGAGAGGTGTCCCGTACTTGGGAGCAGGGGGCCGTCTTGTCGTCGTCCTTATTTTTATTTCTTCTGCTGATTTATCGTCTGCATTCATATCCCGCCCACCCCGCGGGCGGGCTCGGGGCGGGTGACATCGTCAGACACAGTTTCGGTTTAAAACGTTAAACATTAAAACACGGTAAAACGTTACAACCAGGGGGCATTTCGTAGAAAAAGAGGTGCAGGAGCTCATTAGCATAACTCATTAGCATAACTTATTTGCATAGGCCACACCCCCTGAGATCACCGGAAGTGTGTCAGAAGGCAACACCCACCGCTCAGGCTCCACTGGACTGTTTTGGATTACTTTTTGGATTGCTAAGCATGGGGGGGGGGGAACGTGCAGATCTGTCCTCGCAGAGGAGGGAGAGCTTGTACCTGAATAAAACGTGGTCTTTAAAGGTGCCACTGGACTGTTTTGGACCAGGGGGCCGGCTCTGCAACTTACCTGGCTGCTTCTTGCTCTAACTGAGGGCTGCTGGGAGCAGGGGGTGGGGCTTGTTGCTTGTGCCCGCCCCCTGGGTTCTTTACTGCCGGAGCTTCACTCCGGTGTGCTCCTGCAGAAAATGACCCCTGGTTACAACAATTACAATGGGTGCAGCTTGGAACAGTGTCAGTTGGCTATAAAGTTCTGGCCTGGTGGTACGATGAGTCGAAGGCCAGTTGTTGGCGGTCAGTAGACAGGTGACAGGTGGGAGACAGCAACCTCAGGGAGGCCATAGATGGGCGCCCGCCACCTCAACCAAAGGCCTGCTGCCTCAGCCAAAGGCCTAGCGGAAGAGCTCCGTCTTGCAGGCCCTGCGGAAGAGCTCCGTCTTGCAGGCCCTGCGGAATTGAAGGAGATCCCGTAGGGCCCTGGTCTCAATAGGGAGCATGTTCCACCAGGCTGGGGCCAGGACAGAGAAGGCCCTGGCCCTGGTTGAGGCAAGACGGGCATCCTTCGTGCCAGGGACCACCAAGAGGTGTTGATCTTTCAAGCGTAACGCTCTTCTAGGCGTATATGGGAAGAGGCAGTCCCTTACCTATGTCGGTCCCAGGCCGTATGAGCAAACATGTGTCGGCCTCGACAGGCGTTGCTCCCGATGCAAAATAACCCTCCCCCCCCCCCCCACCCACGGCAATCCTTGCAGGTAGAGTACCAGCTCCAGGCTGGGAAATACCAGGAGATTTTGAGGGAGGAGTCTGAGGAGGGCGGGGTTTGGGAAGGCAATGGGATAGAATGCCACAGAGTCCACCCTCCAAAGCAGCCATTTTTCTCCAATGGAACTGATCTCTGCTACATGGAGATCAGTTGTAACCAACGTTCCCTCTAAGCTGTGGAGTCTTGTGAACAAAAATTCTACAGCCAGTTTGGCGTAGTGGTTAAGTGTGCGGACTCTAATCTGGGAGAACCGGGTTTGATTCCCCACTCCTCCACTTGCACCTGCTGGATGACCTTGGGCAAGCCACAGTTCTGTCAGAGGTGTTCTTGAAAAAGAGCAGTTTCTGTCAGAGCTCTCTCAGCCCCACCTACCTCACAGAGCGTCTGTTGTGGGGAGGGGAAGGGAAAGGAGTTTGTCAGCCGCTCTGAGACTCCTTTGGGGAATGAAGGGCGGGGTGTAAATCCAATCTCTTCTCTTTTTCTTATACACATACAGATGGGCCTAAAAGTGTGTGTAGGGGAATCATATTTGTAAAGGCTTTCTGGTGAGTCGCCTGGAGGGGATTTTTAGTCACCCTAGGCGAGCAGGCTTAATGACTGCTGGATAATAAAGGAAGTGCCAGTAACCCTCTTCTCCACATCAGGTAGGGATCTTTCCTAGACCTGCTATAAGTGAGACCCTGGTACATGAAGGCGGCAGATATTGAAGCTGGGTGCAAAAAAGCATGGTGCCAGATTGCAACCCAAGAAATGGTGTCACCGACACGCTTCCTTTGCGTCCTTCCAAATGTTGCCTTTGACTGTGTGGATCACAACAAACTATGGCAGGTCCTTAACGAGATGGGAGTACCAGACCACCTCACATGTCTCGGAAAGATGCCTGGCTTTAAAGTTTGATGCGAACGTATCAAGCAAGCTAGTACTGTGAAAGGGTCATTATGGCTCCTGATTCTGCCACTTTCTCCAGATACTTGGTGACATATCTCTGCAGGTCTGCTATTGGTTCACTGACTTCAGCCTTTGAGAAGTTCCTGGTGGTGATGCACTGTGCTAAAACTGATGCTGCTTTTGGAAGAGCAGTTCTTCAGAGCCTGTTTCTTCAAGACGACCTGCAGATAACATCAGGTACATGGCTCCCTAGTCATCAAATCACCGCAGACTGTGACTGCAGCCATGAAATTAAAAGACGCCTGCTCCTTGGGAGGAAAGCGATGGCGAACCTAAACAGCATGATAAAAAGTAGAGACATCACCCTGCCAACAAAAGTCCGCATGGTCAAAGCAATGGTATTCCCAGTAGTCATGTATGGCTGCGAGAGTTGGACTATAAGGAAGGCCGAGCGCCGAAGAATAGATTCTTTTGAACTATGGTGCTGGAGGAGACTCTTGAGAGTCCCTTGGACTGCAAGAAGAACAAATCAGTCAATCCTCAAAGAAATCAACCCTGACTGTTCCCTGGAAGGCCAGATAATGAAACTGAAGCTCAAATACTTTGGCCACCAAATGAGAAGGGAGCACTCACTGGAGAAGACCCTGATGCTGGGAAAGATTGAAGGTCAAAGAAGACGGGGACGGCAAAGGATGAGATGGTTAGACAGTGTCATCGATGCAACGAACATGAAATTGAGCCAATTTCAGAGGACGGTGGAAGACAGGAAGGCCTGGCGTGATCTGGTCCATGGGGTCGCAAAGAGTCGGACTCGACTGTGCGACTGAACAACAAACAACAAGAAATGTTGCTTTAGCTGGGAGATGGGGCAATGTTTGTCTTTGGCTGCCACTGCAGGGATGGGAAGGGAGGGGGCGAAAGGCCAGGCACTGCGTTTGGGATTCCCCAGGGGAAATGACGTGACAGAGCCTTTCGGGGAAGGAGGCATTTCACAAGTCGGAACTGCCCTGCACGAGGTCCCAGCCCTGGAGCACATGAAGGTGCGTGGTGCCTCGTGGGTCCCTTGTTTATCGACAGCCCATTGCTGCCGCTGCCGGACAATTAATTCATGCTTTTGGGTTCTCAGAATGCAAATATCCCCGTGGGGTAGCCATTGGCCTCTCCTAACAATGGGATTCCACGAAGAATTACGTCTGATCTGTGTACACTGGTGTTTTGCAAAAGAGAACAGCTTGCAAGGGTAGATGAGGAAGCGAGGCCCCAGTTTAGGAAGCGGTGTTCTGTGGGGGACCCCCATCTCAGCAGCTTCTGCAGGAAGCCACGGGGCACTTTTATTTTTATTTTTTTCAGATTTATAACCCACCCTCCCCACAAGTGGGCTCAGGCCGGATCACAGAGCCGCTCGGCAACACAATATATAAATACATCAATACAGTATAAATAAATTAATCATCAGATTAAAGCAGTTAAGAGCCATAATTTAAAGCGGATTGCACTGTTTGTTTGTACCCACAATCTCCAGAGCTGGCGTCGCTAGGTCACTGAGGTCTACCTGATCTGGGCTCACCGTGGCCTGAGCCAGTCTTGTGTAAGTCAGAATGCTTTGAGTGTTCCCAGGTGGGCTTGCTCTGGTTCTACTCGGCCCCAAGGACACCAAATTAGCTGCGACCAGGGCCAGGGCTTTTTCAGTGGCGGCTCCTACCTGGTGGAATGAGCTCCCGGGGGAGATCCGGGCCCTGCGGGACCTTATGCAGTTCTGCAGGGCCTGCAAGACGGAGCTCTTCCGCCAGGCCTTTGAATAGGAGCCGCTGCCCCACTATACCATCACCGGCAGGATATCTTAAAGGATGCACCGACGCGGCCCTGAGGGAGAACCTGGAAAATGTAAAGAAGATCTGTTAAGCCGTCTCCATTGGGCACAAATACCATGGGAAGTAGCACCTGGAACTGTGTTGATTCCATCTTGGATTTACGACACCAGTAATTGGATTGAGCATCGTTGTTTTCAGCGTTGGATGTTTTTATTGTGTATTACATGTTTTAACTATGGCACGGCTAACTACCCGCCCTTGTTAGCCGCCCTGAGCCCATTGGGGAGGGCGGGATATAAACGCGAAAAATAAATAAATAAAAATAAAAAATACCCGTGAGACTGAGCAGGTGACCGGGAAGGCAGCAAGAAAGAAGAGAGAGCCCCCGGGGCCTGGCTTGGAGTGGCCCCACATTTGGGACTGAGAGCGCCCTCTAGAGGAAGACGAAGGCTCAGGCGGGTCCGACTGACCCAGAAAGGCTGGGCCCTTCCAAGGGCGATCGGGGAACGGAAGAGGGCGTCTCTGCGCAGGGTGGATCTCAGGGAAGGCCACCGAAGGGCAGGGGTCATTTCGTAGAAAGAGGGGTGCAGGAGCTCATTAGCATAACTCATTAGCATAACTTATTTGCATATTCCACACACCCTGACATCACCGGAAGTGTGTCAGAAGGCAACACCCACCACTCAGGCTCCACTGGACTGTTTTGGATGGCTAGCTATTGGGGGGGGGGGCGTGCAGATCTGTCCTCGCAGAGGAGGGAGAGCTCGTACCTGAATAAAACTTGGTCTTAAAGGTAACGTTCCGCTGGCTTGTTTTGTGCCGGGGGGGGGGGCTCTGCAACGTACCTGGCTGCTTCTTGCTCTGACACTGGGCTGCTGGGAGCAGGGGGCGGGGCTTGTTGCATGTGCCCGCCCCCTGGGCTCTTAACTGCCGGAGCTCCGCTCCTGTGCGCTCCTGCAGGAAATGACTCCTGCCGAAGGGCACGGGTGGATCAGCCATTACGGACACCAGGGTTGCCGGGTTCCCCCCTGGCCACCAGCAGGGGATGGGGCTGGCAGCAATGCTCCCTCTAAGCTGTGGAGTCTTGTGAGCAAAACGTCTCCATTGTGAGCAACTGGCACTGAAGTTGTGAGCGAGCGATTTGGCTGCGGCGTACATTCATTTGCTCCGGAGCCCTCCTTCCTGAGCTAAAAGAAAAAAAATCTGTGAGCTAGAGGCTAAAAAACGGTGAGCTCGCTCACACTCACTCAGCTTAGAGGGAACACTGGGTGAAAGGAGTAAGGTTGCCAGATCCAGGTTGGGAAACTCCTGGAAATTTGGGGATGGAGCCGCCTGGGGTGGACGGGGACCCCAGTGGGGCGCAACGCCAGAGAGCCCACCCTCCAAAGCACCCATTTTCTCCAGGGGAGCTGATCTCCGCAGTCTGGAGGTGAGCTGTAATTCCGGGGGGATGCCCAGGTCCCACCTGGAGGTTGGCATCCCCACCTCTTTCTTCCCCGGGGGCCAGACCAGCTCAGTGAAAGAAGTGCTGCGCCCACCCCAATCCTGCCTGGCCAGGGGAGGCGGCACCCTTCCTCTTATTCAACCGATGATGACCTCGTCGCCAGGAACTGCCCTGGGAAGGGGCCCCAAGCTGGACTGACCACATGCCGAGGAAACTGGGCCAGCCGCTGTAGAAGTCTGCACATCATCCTCGGCTTCCACGACCCCCAGGGTCTCAGAACGAGGCGGCAAACCGTGACTCTTCCTCCAATCGGCATAACCATCTGAAAGGCACACTGGCGAGCGACGTCCACAAGCGAAGCATACTTGCGTCTTAGCAAAGGCAGAAACAGACTGATGAGTGGACCGATCACGACACCTCCAGGCTTACACGACAGACAGAATCTCTGCCCAAGTGCCCACCTCCTGTATTTCCACAAATAAGGGCGGGTTGTGCCATCCTCTCCAATGGGCCGTGTTAGACCTGATCAGGACTAGCCCATCGAAACTTTAAACGTGCACCTTGTAGGTATGTAGGACAGGAATCCTGTACTGGTGGGATTAGCCCAGGGGTCCCCGGCCTTTTTTGAGCCTGCAGGCACATCTGGAATTCTGGCGCGGCGTGGTGGACGCTGCAACAAAACGGCTGCCGCGGGAGGCACAGGTTAGCTTCAGTGATGCGGTGCAGATCCTCGCGTTGTGGTTGGACTTCTACCTTGTCCAGGCACACTGCAAGAAGGGGCAAAGAACACCCCCCACACAGGGGTCGTTTCGTAGAAAAAGAGCTAGGGGAACTCATTAGCATATCGGTGGACCTGCAAGGCCGGTGGGAGTGCAAGGAAGCCCCACAAAGGCCCTCCCTGGCCCCAGGCAGGCAGGGATGGGGAGAGGCGGGGAGGAAGCAACTTACCCTCCCTCTTCTCCTGCCTCCTCCTGGCTGAAAGAGGGCCGGAAGCGGGGCAGCCGGAAGCAGGGGGCGGGGCTTCGTCATGTGCCCCGCCCCCCGTACCTCACCCGGGGGAACTGCGATCCCCCCGCGATCCCCCCCAAAATGACCTCTGCCCCCACACACTGATTGCCAAGGGCCATTGAAGAGGGAATTGTCCCTGTTGGATTTCTACCTTGTCTAGGCACAGGGTGGGGTGGGGGGCAAAGTACACCCCTCACAGCTGGCTGTAAATGGCCATTGACAGAAGGAGATGTCCCTGTTGGATTTCTGCCTTGTCTAGGCACAGGGCGGGGGGGGGAGGGGAGAACACCCCCACGCTGGTTGCAAAGGGCCAGTTTGGCGTAGTGGTTAAGTGTGCGGACTCTAATCTGGGAGAACCGGGTTTGATTCCCCACTCCTCCACTTGCAGCTGCTGGTGTGACCTTGGGTCAGTCACAAGCTCTGGCACAGCTGTCCTTGAAAAAGAGCCATTTCTGCCAGAGCTCTCTCAGCCCCACCGACCTCACAGGGTGTCTGTTGTGGGGAGCGGAAGGGAAAGGAGCTTGTAAGCCGCTCTGAGACACCTTTGGGTAGTGAAGGGCGGGGTATAAATCCAATCTCCTCCTCCTCCTCCTCCATTGAAAGGGGAGTTGTGCCTGTTGGATTTCTGTCTTGTCCAGGCACAGGGCAGGCGGGGAGGGCAAAGAATACCCCTCCAAGCTGGCTGCAAAAGGGCCATTGACAGGGGAGAGCCTGGAAAGAAGGCAAATGGCGCCGGGCTGTGTGGAGACTCCAGACACGGGGTGGCTGCCTTCCCAGGAGCCAGGGAAGTTCGGGTGTGGGACCAGAGGTCCAGAGGGGGCCGACGTCACCTGAAGAAGGCGAGCCACGGGTGGGATTCTTTCCCGGCGGAGGGATACCGTCTCTTGGCGCGACCCTTCACTTCCCCCTCGCAGTCCCCCCCTCCCACTGCGCCCCAGCGGCGGGTCGCTTGGCGGAGCAATCCCTGCCCTTGCCCGCCCGGGGGAAGAAGTCCCGGGCCCACTGAGAGGCGGATTCCAAGATGGCGGCGCAGTCGCGGTGCCGCCGTGAGGCACCTTAACGGACTCGCCGGCGCGCGTATGGACGGCGTGACCGCCTCGGAAGCTTTCTTTTAACAAAAAAGGCAACGGCGTCCCCGAAGAACGGGACCGACGAAGCGACTCATTTCGGGTGAGTGGTTCAAAAGCGCGCCGCTCACGTAACTTACGCTGTGGGTGTGAACGGAGAGGCGTACGCGTTGGGGGCGGAGCGTAGCGGCTGTTGGTGAATAGCCCTCGAGGCCCGAGGGAGCCGCGTAAGTTGAGTAGTGGGAAGGTCTCCGAGCGGCCTCTAGGGGTCGCTGCGGGAGCGGCCTGGACGGTCGGAAGCTGCGCAAGCAGCGTAATAGGAGAGGACAAGGTCTCGAGCGTAAAGTGCGTAAGGGGGGGGAGCGGGAAACGAGGTGCGCTAAGGGCGTAGAACGTTTCTGGGAATACTCGTAAGGAAGCACGTGGGAATGAAGTTTAGCTCTTCCGCGCTTTTTCGCAGAGACTTCCCTGGGTTTTAAGGATTTTAAGCCAACTTTCCATAAACAGCAGACGCAAAATAAGCTAAGCGTTTCCGGCATACGGTCTTATCCACCACCACCACCCGGCCATGAAAACAAAACAATTCCATTGATCGGGGAACGAAACTCAATAAGCTAAGATGTATAAACCAGTGTTTGCCTGTTTTCCCGCATATAGCTGGTGAAACCTCATTTGGCCAGAGAAAACCACATTCCTCTCTATTTGTCTGTCTTTGTGTATTTAGGGTTGTAATGCTGAGTTGATTTCCAGTGCAATCATATCAGAAGTTAAGAACATAAGACCATAACAGAAGGCCTGTTGGATCAGGCCAGTGGCCCATCCAGTCCAAAGTTCTGTGTCACACAGTGGCCAAAAGCCAGATGCCATCAGGAGGTCCGCCAGCAGGGCCAGGACTCCAGAAGCCCTCCCACTGTTGCCCCCCAAGCACCAAAGATACAGAACATCACTGCCCCAGACAAAGTGTTCCCTTTATACCTTGTGGTCAATGGTCCCTCTACGCTGTGGAGTCTTGTGAGCAAAAATTCTACTCTGTGAGCTCCTGGCATTAAAGTTGTGAGCGAGCAATTTGGCTACTGCATAAATTAGTATGCTCTGGAGCCCTCCTTCCTGAGCGCAGACAAAAATGTGTGAGCCGGAGGATAAAAAACTGTGAGCTAGCTCACACTGACTCAGTTTAGAGGGAACACTGCGTTGTGGCTAATAGCCACTGATGGACCTCTGCTCCATAGGTTTCTCCAATCCCCTGTTGAAGCTGTATATGCTGTTAGCTGCTAGGGTTGCCAAATCAAAATGTGCCAGGAGCGGGGGGCTCCCGGCTGACGTCCAACTCGTGCGCGCGCGCACCGCGTGTACGTCACCCGGAAGTGAATTCACATGCTGGGGGTGGGGTGACGCCATTTGAGGGGAAAACAAAGGTTGTTTTCCCCTCAAATGGCATCGCCCCGCCCCCAGCATGCGACGTCACTTCCGGGTGACGCACATGCGGGGGTGGGGTTTCCCCCGGGCCCCGATTCCGCGGGAGTGGGAATCGGGGCTCGAAACCAGGGGGAATTCCGCCCCCCGGGGGGATTTGGTACTGTTAGCTGCCACCACTTCATGCGGCAGATACTCCAGTTCAGGGGTGGCCAAAATTGCTCAACGTAAGAGCCACATCGAATAAATGTCAGATGTCTGAGAGCCGCAAGACATGAACAGATATCACAGACATGTTTTTCTTTTAAAAATATGCAAATTCGCTCTTTATTAACATCCCGGCGGCGCCAGGGAACGGGCCTCTGGGGCAGGGGTTTCCCTGCCCCCCGGGGGGACTTGGGATCCCTATAAATGTCAGATGTCTGAGAGCCGCAAAACATGAACAGATATCACAGACACTTTTTTCTTTAAAAATATGCAAATTCGCTTTTTATTAACGTTCAATGAGTCTGCCAAAAATAAAAGCAAGAAGGGATAAAAAGAGATATTGATGATATTTATTTGTCCAATGATATTTATTTGTTTGCTAATGTCGGAGAGGGAGAAGGGAGGCAGGGAGGTGGAAAGAAAGAGAGAGAGAGAGAGAGAAACAAAGCAAACAGAAGGAGGAAGGAAGGAAAAGCATGGCTCCCCTTCGCTTCCCCAGCTGCCTTGCCGGGAGCCACACAACCTATATGTGAAAGAGCCACATGTGGCTCCCGAGCCACAGTTTGGCCACCCCTGCTCCAGTCTAAGCCCATTACTCCCAATTTAAATTTGTTGGGCTCTGAGTGGGCTCTGCCATAGGACTGCTGTGCTAATCGATTAAGAAGGTTATCTCAGATTAATCTGGTAGCAGAGGTTTTTAGTGGTGTCCCCCCCCCCCCAAAGTAAGCATACTTACAAGAACGGCAAAAGAAGCACTTCTTCCCAGGGTTGCCAGCCTCCAGGTGGGGCCTGGAGATCTCCCAGAACCACAGACTTGGAGGAAGTGACTGTTTTGGAGGGTGAGGTCCAGTGTTCCCTCTAAGCTGAGTTAGTGTGAGCTAGCTCACAGTTTGTTAGCCTCCGGCTCACACATTTTTGTCTCAGCTCAGGGAGGATGGCTCCAGAGCAAACTTATGCAGTAGCCAAATCGCTTGTTCACAACTTTAATGCCAGTAGCTCACAAAGTAGAATTCTTGCTCACAAGATTCCACAGCTTAGAGGGAACATTGAGGTCTGTGGCATTGTAGCCCAATGAGGTCTCTCCCCGAATACTACCCTCCCAAGGCTCCGCTCCCAGATCACCAGGAATTTCCCAACCCCGAGTTGGCAACTCGACAGATCTTCAGTGAAACAGAGAAGAAAGAAAATAACCATGGCGATCCACAGCCGTATCCCAAAACGAAAGTCATATAATACTTTTTATTAAGTATCTGCGGGACCGCCTCCTCCGTTACACCCCCGGGAGAGCATCACACTCCTCACAGAACGACTTACTGGTGATCCCTGGCCCCAGAGGGATCTGGCCGTCCTTCACCCAACCTGGTGGAACTCTCTGCCAAACAACATCAGGGCCCCGCGGGATCTTACGCAATTCTGCGGGGCCCGTAAGGCAGAGATGTTCCGCCAGGCATTCAGTTGAGGACAGCGATGGTTAAACATCATGGCTGGCACCCTACTCCTTATGGAGTTTACTCCCCTGTACAGGTGAAGCACCCACCGCTTCGATATATGGGGAGGAGCTACATAGCTTTTGCCTCTTGTTTTAATTATTGTATGCTGTTGGGCTTGGTTTTTAATCTCTTGTTATGTTTTTAGAACTCTGTAAATCGCCTAGAGCCCTACAACTGTGGGGGCGGGCGATCAATCAATGGAAATAAATAATAAATATTAAGACCAAACAAAAGAACAAACCCAGTGTACAAGCTTTGAAGCTCGTTAGAACTCATCATCTGGACATTTAAAAACAATAACAACAACACGAAAGGATGCTTTGTTCAGTACCATCGCGGTCCAAGCTTTATTTAAACCTGACTTCATGGTTGGCTTTATCTTAGCTTTAAGGTAGTAACTGTCGCCAGTCTGGCTGGAGCTACCAAGTCTGACAGAATAATATCATATTTGAGGAATGCCTAGAAGGTTTCCCAGAACAGTTGTCATTAACAGATGGGGGGCAGTCTGTAGGTCTGCAAGAAGAGGTCAGCTGAATCGACAGTGACTCTCCTTGGCACATCGCATCGACTCTAAGCCTTTGCAAAATACGTATTTTTTTTAATGAAAAAGACAGAAATGTCAACACTTCATAAAAACAAGTCAAAATACCAACATAGTTTTGCAGATTAGTTGTTGTTGCCCAAAGCAAGTGATTTATAACAAGCCACAGTGTCACAAGCTTGTTGACATCAGAAAGAAAGCCTTTGATCCATCTCCTGTCGATGTGGCAATGTGAAATTCCTTTGGAAACTTCTGCCCACAGCTCTTTACTCTTGGGGCTTCCCATTTCTTGCAGTGTCAGATGCCAGCGTTTCTGGACCAATGCTCCCCCTAAGCCAAAATTCTTGCTTTATGAACTACTGGCATGAAAGTTACGAGCGAGGGATTTGGCTGCTGCATAAACTGGTGTGCTCTGGAGCCCTCCTTCCTGAGCTAAGACGAAAATGTGTGAGCCAGAGGCTAAAAAACTGTGAGCTAGCTCACACTAACTCAGCTTAGAGGGAACACTAGTCTGGACTCCCTTTTGGTGTGTGGGGTGTAACCTGGAGCTTTCCTCCCTTCCCCGTCTTCTCACCCCCCACCCCTCCAGGTAGAGCAAAGATGGCCCCAGCCTGTGAGCAGCTGCAGTTCCGCTTCCCCGGTTACGGAGATGGGGTGCTGCGCCGCATGGACCAACTGCGGGAGCAGCGGCGCTTCTGTGACGTGACGGTGCAGGTGAACGAGCTGCGGGTTCCTGGCCACCGCGTGGTCTTTGCCGCCTGCTCCCCTTTCCTGCGGGACCAGTTCCTGCTCAACGACTCGGAAGAGGTGTCCGTCTCACTCTACCAGAGCCCCGAGATCGGGCGCCAGCTCCTCCTCTCCTGCTACACGGGATGCCTCGAGGTGCCCGTCAAGGAGCTCGTCAACTACCTGACAGCCGCCTCCTTCTTGCAGATGGGCCACGTGGTGGAGTGCTGCGCCCAGGCCCTGTCCCACTACTTGGTCCCCAAGGCTGACGCCCTGCTGCGGGAGGAGGAAGAGGAGGGAAACTGCCTACGGCAGGACGGGGAGGAGGAGGAAGAGGAGAAGTATTGCCCTCCTGCGTTCAAAGGGGAGGCGGACTCCGAGGAAGACAAAACAGAGGGACCCGCGTTCACCCCTCGCGGCTCCCGCAGCCCCTCCTCCCCAGGGATCTCGCTCTCCCTGATCAACTCAGCCGTGGAGATCACCCGCAACTACCTGCAGGGCTGCCTGGACGATGAGACGAGCGGCAAAGGCCTTCCTTTCCCGCCCACGGTCCGTGCACCCGGCTCCCAGTGGAGGCGCTACCCCCTACACTGTCACCGACGCAGCACGGCCGCAGCTTACAGGGACTGGAGGCCGGGGAGCGGGGCGGCAGGGTGGAAGGCGCCCGAACTGGAGCGCCCCTACCGTTGCCCGCGCTGCAACAGCGTCTTCCAGCAGCTGGGCCACTTCGTGAGCCACGTCCAAGAGCACAAGCTCTTCCTGTGCCTGCGCTGCGGCAAGGTCTTCTCGCAGAAGAGCAACCTGACGCGGCACATCCGGGTGCACACGGGCTTCAAGCCCTTCCAGTGCCCCGTCTGCCGCAAGTGCTTCACCCAGAACGCCACCCTGCAGGACCACCTCAACCTGCACAGCGGCCTCAAGCCCCACCGGTGCAACTACTGCGACATGCACTTCACCCACAAGCCGGGCCTGCGGCGCCACCTCAAGGAGATGCACGGCAAGAGCACCTTCGAGAACAGCCACGAAGAGATCGAAGAGGTCACCATTGACTTTGATTGACGGGAGGGAGGGGAGGGTGGCTGGAAACGGAGCAGCAGGCTCTTGGGGCGCGGGAGGCTGCAGGAAGGCAAAAAAGAGGCCACGGATTGAACCCGGTGGCACGGGGGTAGTTGGTGCCACGAGCATACTCATTCCTTTACTAGTTGGAAGGGAAGTGATGCGATCCAAGTGTTTCCTGGAAAGAGAGAGAGAGGGTGTGGACGGAACAGTTGCCTAGACAGGATAAGATACCTCAGTATACGTAGGGGACCAAGACTGTTGGCGAGGGGGATACCATGGCCTCTCTTGGAAATGATTCCACTGGAGAGTGCAGAAGGGGGCCTGTTGTGAGGCTGGGGGGAGACGGCTGCCTGAGGGGGGGGAAGGTTTCCAGTGCCTGCTGGGAAAGATCCGACCCCTGGTGCACGAGCCACTGGAAAGGAGCAAGAGTCCAGGAGCACCATAAAGACTAGCAAAATTCGTGGCAGGGTGTGAGCTTTCACAGCTCAGTTCTTAAGGCTCACGAAATCACCTCCCCCACCAGCAATTTGGTTAGTCTTTCAGGTGCTCCTGGACTCTTGCTCTCTTCTCCTGCTACAGGCAGACCAAACACGGCTACCCACCAAAGCTCCCTCTAAGCTGTGGAGTCCTGTGAGCAAAAAATTCCACTTTGTGAGCTACTGGCATTAAAGTTGTGAGTGAGCGATCTGGCTGCTGCATGAATTAGTTTGCTCTGGAGCCATCCTTCCTGAGCGAAGACAAAAATGTGTGAGCTGGAAGCTAAAAAACTGTGCGCTAGCTCACACTAACTCAGCTTAGAGGGAACACGGCTACCCACCTTGAAGCCATTGGAGAGTTCTGCTGCGCAGGACCTCTTGGAATATCGGAGAGCCTGGACGAATTCAGTCCCATACAGATTGTGTCAGAGAACTAGTCATGTACACTTGAAAAAAAAATAAATAGAATTTTTGGATATGGGTTTCCAAACTGATATTCTGGATTATTTTGGTCCCTGGTTGCATTTTTTTAAACCATTGACAGTTTTCAGGTGCGTTATTCCCTATCAGTAGAAAAGAACAGGAGTCCAGTAGGACCTTAGAGACTAATAAAATTTGTGGCAAGGTATAAGCTCCTCCCCTGCCACAAATTTTGTTAGTCTGTAAGGTGCTCCTGGACTCTTGCTCTTTTCTACTGTGCCAGACAGACCAACACGGCTACCCATTTTGATCTTTATTCCCTATGGAGGGCTCTTCTCAGGCGGGAGGCTGGAATGGCTGTTTTTGAATCAAACAGCATCACAATCACAGGGAACCAAGTACTGCCTGTCCTCAAGAGAACTGGATCAAGGAATCCAGTTCTATGGGCTCCTGGACCGAGGTGGTGTCAACTTGTCTCAGTTGTTTCCTGTGGGGAAAATAAAATCCTGTGCTTTCTCTAGGGCAAAGCAGCCAAGCACACAAAGCAACCACTGGCCGGAACCCAGTGCAGATGTAGATCAAAGAACAAGCCCAAAAGAACCAGTGTCAAACCGCAGAAGCCAGGGCCCACATGGCAAGCCCAGCAGAACCCACGTCATACCAGAGAACCCAAAGGGACACTGTTGCAAGCACAACCCAACATTTAGGATTTAAGAAAAACAGCCTTAGTTCCAGAATTTCTTTCTGCCCACTTTTTTCAGTATTCACTGATATTGTTCTTGATATCTAAATATCAAGGATCCCTCTTAAGTTGTGGAGTCCTGTGAGAGAAAATTCTCCTTCGTGAGCTACCGGCATTCAAGTTGTGAGCGAGCAATTTGGCTGCTGCATAAATTAGTTTGCTCTGGAGCCCTCCTTCCTGAGCCGAGACAAAAATGTGTGAGCTGGAGGCTAAAAAGCTGTGAGCTAGTTCACACTGACTCAGCTTAGAGGGAACTCAGCCAAATATGTCCAGAAATATCAATAAGGTGTGTCCCCCCCCCTTTGGGCCTGACATACCAGAATGTCACATATGGTTGCCAGCCTCCAGGTGGGGCCTGGAGATCTCACGCTTTTACAGCTTGACAGAGATCAGCTCCCCTGGAGAAAACGGCTGCTTTGAAGGGGGGACTCTGTGGCACTGTACCATGCTGAGGCCCCTCCCCTCCCCCAAACCCCGCCCTCTCCTGGATCCACCCCCAAAGTCTCTAGATGTTTTCCAACCCAGACCTGGCGACCCTAGCTTGACAACAGAATCGGTGTGTGAAAGGGGCCCCATCTTAATTCCCCACCTCAGAGGCTGTAATATTTTGAGAGCGTACTCGGGCAAGCTTTTTTGTCTGGGGCCGGGGCGGCAGCGCTGGTTGCAACAGAGGCTTCCCTCGGGCCCCGACTTGGGAAGTTCCCCTCTCTCTCTCTCTGCAGATTCTCGGTTTGTACATTGCAAGACAAAAACATCCAGTCTGTTCTGCCAAAATTGCCAGCTCAGAGAATTCTTTGGGCCTGGGATGTTGCAGCAACCGCAGTTCTGCCCTCTGATTGCATTTGTGGAGTGACCCGGGGGGGGGGGGCATGGGGGCAGAGCAACCTCCTGCCTTAACTAGCCCCCACCCCCCACCCCGGTGTCCTGTAGCAAGAGGCTACAGTTCGGCTGTACGCAATGCTGGGATCGATGTGCCGAGACCACCGGCCGGGGAAGCACCCGGTGGGTAAGAGCACCCGGCTCAGCGAGAGTAGGCGACTCGTCCCGCGTGTGACTCATACGCCAAGAATGGCAGAGGTGGGCCGTGCCACAATACCAGGGATGGCAAAACTGTCGGGCAGCTTGCCATGATCAAGAAGGTCGGAGCAGCCATCCCCGAGCCTGGGAACCCACTAACCAGCCACCCGCAATATAGGACAAGACTGGGTGGGTTCGGCAAGTAGGCAGAAGGGAGGCAAGGCCCGCATCCTGCCTTCAGGTCCCGGAGCAGAGTGCCATTAATCATCCACTGCTAAACGATAACAGGCGGTAGGCGTTCCGATTCCCGACCCAGTCAGGAAGAGAAGACCTAGCAAGCCTCTCTTGTGTGCGAGGCGGGTGTCTTCTGTTGGACGGGAGCCCGCTGTGTCCTTTGGTAGAGAGCCAGTTTGGTGTTGTGGTTAAGTGCGCGGACTCTAATCTGGGAGAACTGGGTTTGATTCCCCACTCCTCCACTCGCACCTGGCTGGGTGACCTTGGGCAAGACATAGTTCTGATAAGAGCTGTTCTTGAAAAAAGAGCCGTTTCTGTCAAGTGCTCTCTCAGCCCCACCTACCTCACAGAGTGTCTGTCGTGGGGAGGGGGAGGGAAAGGCGTTTGTAAGCCGCTCTGAGACTCCTTTGGGTAGTGAAGGGTGGGGTATAAATCCAATCTCTTCTCTTCTCCTTCTTTAATATTTGGAAATGGCAAGCTTCATGCAGCAGGGAGGATCACAGGCGATGAATCGCACCTAGAAGGTTTGGCATCAGCCTGTGCTCCCATCTCTTGGGTCCGGGGCACTTGGCTGGGAGGCATATTTCCTAGATCCAGCGCCATGGGTTTCTCCCATGGGGTGATTCTGGGATGCTCCTGTGAGCTGTGTTGGCCCCTTGGCCAGCTTGGTGTCGTGGTTAAGTGCGCGGACTCTAATCTGGGAGAACCGGGTTCAATTCCCCACTCCTCCACTCGCACCTGCTGGATGACCTTGGGCAGGCCATCGTTCTGGCACAGCTGTCCTTGAAAAAGAGCCGTTTCTCTCAGAGCTCTCTCAGCCCCGCCTACCTCACAGGGTGTCTGTTGTGGGGAGGGGAAGGGAAAGGAGTTTGTACGCCGCTCTGAGACTCCCTTGGAACGTGAAGGGCGGGGTATAAATCCAATCTCCTCCTCCTCCTCCTCCTCCTCTTCCTCCTCCTCTTCGGCTGTGGTCGCACACACACTAAATAATCCACTTTCGATCCACTTTTGAATTGGACTTTGCCAGTTCACACAGTAAAAATCCAGTTGGAAAGTGCATTGAAAGTGGATTATTTGGTATGTGTGTGACCGCAGCCTTAGAGCCGAACACGCAGAGCAGCCTTATAGTGAGACTGTGGGTCTATGGAGCCCAGTATCATCCACTGTGACAGGCGGCAGCTTTTCAGGTGTCAGGTTTATGTGGGGCTCTCCCAGCTCTCCCTCCTCCAGCCGGAGATGCCAGAGACTTAGCCCGGCGCTTTCTGCATCCAAAGTACGTTGGGTGAGCTCCAGTTCCATCTTCAGGATGTCCGGATCCCGTAGATGCCCAGTCGCCCTCAGAATCCCGGACCAGCGACTTCCTGTTTTCGGGACCAGGTGCTGCACCAAGCGGACTTTGTGGCGGGGAGAGGCAACTCCCAATTCCTTCCATGTAAAGGGATCTCTGTTCTGAAACTCCGATGGCTCCGTGGTCGTGCTCAGGCCACCGCCTACCTCGAAAGAGAGCGAGGAAGGCCCAGCCAAGGGGAAATCGAGGTCCCCTTTGACCTGCTAGCTCATGTGTGTGTGTGTGTGCGCGCACGTGCACATGTGCTTGTGAGTCTGGAAGTCGTCGTGACTTCCGCCAACCCGTAGTGGGGCTAGGACGCTTTCAGAGCGGTGGCTTCATTGCCTGCCTCTGCCTCCCAGCCCTGACATTCCTTGGAGGTCTCCCTTCCAAGGACTTGCCAGGGTCGGCCCTGCTTAGCTTCCGAGATCTGATATGATCGGGCTTGCCTGGGCTGTCCGGGTCAGGGCTGATCGTTCTTTTCCCCAGTCTGTGTGGCTCCAAGCGGCTGTGACGTCGTCCACATAGAGACCCCATTCCCACAGCCACATCGGCCTGGGCGCTGGCTCTCTCCCTGCTGTGTTTCCGCTGGTTTGGTTCTCACTTCCCCACCTCTTGACTCTGTCCCACCCTTTTCCTCTCGGCCTGCCTCCTTCCGTTGCCACTGCTGCTCCTCCCCTTCAAAAGTACAGGGGAACCAGCTCTCTTCTGGCTTGGAGGAACACGGGGCGGTTTAAAAAGGGGGTGGTGCCAATGGAGGTTTTAGGTCCCTGCCCCTATACAGCAGCCTCCCTTCTTGGTGTTTGACGAAGGAAGTATTGACTCTCAAAAGTTTATACACCCAAAGTCTTAAGAACATCCAAAGAGCCCTGCTGGATCAGACCAGGGGTCCATCCAGTCCAGCATCCCATCTCACACAGTGGCCAACTAGTTCCTCTGGTGGGCCAACCACAGGGCAGAGAGGCCGAGGCCTTCATAAGAACATCAGAAGAGCCCTGCTGGAACAGACCAGGGGTCCATCCAGTCCAGCATCCTGTCTCACACAGCGGCCAGCCAGTTCCTCTGGAGGGACAGCAAAAGGGCAGAGAGGCTGAGGTCTTCCCCTGATAAGAACCTCAGAAGAGCCCTGCTGGATCAGAGCAGTGGTCCATCTAGTCCAGCATCCTGTCTCACACAGCGGCCAGCCAGTTCCTCTGGACGGCCAACAACAGGGCAGAGAGGCCCAGTCCATCCCTTGGTGTTGCCTTCTGGCTCATGACATCCTCTGGCGGCGAATTCCACATTTGAATCACTCT